CGTCGTCTACGGTGGTCCAACGGGGTCAAGGTTGGTTGGGTTTTGCTCCTGGGATGATGGGCTACAAAGCCCAAGTGGTGGCATCGGCCATTGCTTTGCCGATTTGCCGGAAAATCGAAAAGGGTGGCCGGAGCACCATTGATTTTCGTCAACTTTCGTGGCCTCAAACCTCCACATCCCATGGTCAATCAAGGTGGTTCTTGGGTGGGTTTTGTAGAGGGGAATGAGAGCTTCAAAATGGTGGTGGTGGCATCGAAAAATTCCACCGGAGTTGGCCGGAATCGGCCTTGGAAGATGGACTCGCGGTGGTGCGGGTATGGGTGCACGGGAAGCCTTTTTCCGTTTTTTTTTTTTTTTTTTCTTTTCTTTTCTTCTTCCTTTCTGATTGGCTGCAAGCTTCACTTTAAATTTTCTAATTGGTTCCTTGTCCCTTTAATTTAATTGGTTCACTAATCCCACAAGGTGGGAATTCAAATATTTAAATAACCAATTTCAAACGTCCATAAGTATACCGTTATAATGCGAACTCGCAAACGGTTTTCGCCTATACGCTCGTACCAATGAGTACTACGAGGATATGCTAAAAGAATAAGTCCCACATCTTTCAAGTCGATGGTCAACAGAAGTCAAAGTCCTTGCCTCTAGGGCAATTTCGTAGATTCACGCTTTTAAAATAAAATAAAAACGTAAAATTTGAAACGGGTTGTTACATAAACGGTCGTTGGACCCCATTCCAAAATTGGGCCATATAATTGAACAAAAAAGTACAGTACAGAGCGAGAGAGAGAGAGAGAGACTAGAGAAAGAAAGGGATTAGATTTATTATTTAGGGCTGCTGGGCATTTGCATTTGGGCAGTGGGCTGGCAGCCTGGGCCCTGGGCTCTCAAAGTCAGTGGGCTGGCTTTGTTAGTGGCTTTTATTTATTTATTTATTTATTTTGTTTGAAGTCTTTAATAGTTTTTTAATTAATGTAGAAGTATAAAAAATATAGAAAAAATATATAAACGCTCGTAATAACAAGCTTTACAACTTTCGTGAAGAGCTTAACTTTGAAATTCGCCACTATAATCATATAAATCATAGATTAAAATTTAACCGTTGATTGTTGTTTACATTTACGCTTCATTTTTCTCATCAAATTTTGTTTTTTCAGATTTTTTTTTTTTGAAAACATGATCTATTAGAGGATGCCAAAAAATGAACGGTTTGGATCGTTGATATTATGTTCAGAGTTTTATGGTTAGTGAAAATATTGCTTGATGTTTATAAAGTTTCTACAAACTATATGACATCGACTCATATTTCAATTAACCGTAAATATCGAAATATGATATTAAAGATCTAAACCGCTCATCTTCTTACATCCGCCAGATGATCATGTTTTCAAAAAAGAAAATTAAAAAAATGAAATTCAGTAACAAGAATAAGGCGTAAATGACAATCAACGGTTAAATATAAATTTAAGGTTTATGGATTATAGTGTTGGATTTCGAAGCTGACCTCTTCATGAAAGTTGTAAAGCTTGTCATTATGAGTGATTGTATATTTTTTTTACATTTTTTACACTTCTACAATAATTATTATTAACTTTATTAATTTTTCCCTCAAATAAAAAACATTATTTATGAGGATTTGGGTCACTAGAGAAAGGGATTGGATTTATTATTTAGGGCTGCTGGGCATTTGCATTTGGGCAGTGGGCTGGCAGCCTGGGCCCTGGGCTCTCAAAGTCAGTGGGCTGGCTTTGTTAGTGGCTTTTATTTATTTATTTATTTTTTGTTTGAAGTCTTTAATAGTTTTTTAATTAATGTAGAAGTATAAAAAATATAGAAAAAATATATAAACGCTCGTAATAACAAGCTTTACAACTTTCGTGAAGAGCTTAACTTTGAAATTCGCCACTATAATCATATAAATCATAGATTAAAATTTAACCGTTGATTGTTGTTTACATTTACGCTTCATTTTTCTCATCAAATTTTGTTTTTTCAGAATTTTTTTTTTTAAAACATGATCTATTAGAGGATGCCAAAAGATGAACGGTTTGGATCGTTGATATTATGTTCAGAGTTTTATGGTTAGTGAAAATATTGCTTGATGTTTATAAAGTTTCTACAAACCATATGACATCGACTCATATTTCAATTAATCGTAAATATCGAAACATGATATTAAAGATCTAAACCGCTCATCTTCTTACATCCGCCAGATGATCATGTTTTCAAAAAAGAAAATTAAAAAAATGAAATTTAGTAACAAGAATAAGGTGTAAATGACAATCAACGGTTAAATATAAATTTAAGGTTTATGGATTATAGTGTTGGATTTCGAAGCTGACCCCTTCATGAAAGTTGTAAAGCTTGTCATTATGAGTGATTGTATATTTTTTTTACATTTTTTACACTTCTACAATAATTATTATGAACTTTATTAATTTTTCCCTCAAATAAAAAACATTATTTATGAGGATTTGGAGGATTTTAAAAATCTAAACGATAATGTAAGTGTAACCATTATATACTGGTAGAGGAATAATGATGAATCATAAGTGTTTATATATTCTTTGACATTTTTCATACTTGAATGTATGTCTTCTTAGTTTATTTTAATTTTGGACAACAACATATTAAATAAAATTTATTATCCTAAACTTTTCAAGGGTATTGACTATTGAGGTGGGCCTGGCTCACGGACCTTTTGGTAGCATGGTTTAAGGCTTTAAGCCTTTTAGTTTTAGGGAAGCATATTTGATTTTATAAGTTGGACTCTCTCTCTCTCTCTCTCCCTAAAATCAAATGTGCATGGTTTTATAAAATCAAATGAAGCAGCATGACTCCTAAGTCCTAACCCTTTGGCCTTTGCTTGACAACCTATGGGCTATGGGTCAGAATTTCCTCCTTCAAGGAAGGAGAGCTCCCATATGATATCCTAGTATTGATAATAATTAATAAGGAACTCTCATAATAAAAATAAATAATGACAAAATTTTTGTTTTTTTTTAACTTATATAGAATAATAATACAAAACTATATATTTAATATAGAAATATTGTACATATAATATATTAATAGGGCTATTGTATTTTATAATAAATCTTTTAGTAATTAAATTTTAAAATTATCAAAATCATTTTTTTCTTAACGGGTCGAAACAGGTTACCCACGTGTTACCCGCGTGTATACCTGTTAACAACCCGTTATTAACGGGTTCTTAACGGGTCACCCGATAATGACCCGATAAGTTATCGTGTTGACCCGAAACCCGTTATTTTCGTGTCGTTTTCGTGTCGTGTCATCGTGTCGTGTCAGAAACTGCCGGGTCTAGTTTTGATGAGGGGGTTAAAATAGTAATTTTATAGAACTTTGATTGACAAACAGAATTCTATTAATAGACACTTTAGATGTTAAGACAATTTCAATTTCAAATTATGCTATTGATGTATTGACTAGCAATTATAAGCAATTTTATGATCGTAATTGCACCAAAATTTTAATCGAAATATATCTAAAATCTCTCAAATTGATCACATATTATATCAAAACTTTACCAAAATTCTCAGATTGAGTCTAATGTACAGATATATATAATTTATCTATATCTAAACTACATATTAATAAAACATTCATTGTTAACCAAAATTCTATGAAATTATCAGTTTAACCCTCTAAAAAAAACAGAACATGAATAAGAAATATGGGCAGAAATGTAATTTCACACAACCAAAATTTGCTTCTTTTTTTTTTTCCAAAGTCTCACCTACATGTAATTCTAACATATCTCTAATTAAAAACTAAAAAATAATAAAAAATAAAAAATAAAGCCTCTCCCCATTCCTACATTCTCTATCACTCTCTTCTTCTCTCCTTCTACTTCAAAAACAAAAATAAAAAATTTTCAAACTCACTTTGTGAGTCCATATGCTAGTGTGTAAAGGGTGAAGGCAAAAAGGGTGAAGCTTTCATAATATCCAAATTGCCCTTCTCTCATTAGAATTTCAAAATAAAAAAAAGACTACAAAAACATGTAAGCTGGTTAGTGAATTCATGATTTTTCAAAATATATTTTAATATAAAACAAAAATATCTAAAATAAATAGAGAAATATCGATATCGTGGTATTTATAGTCCCCTAATCCAATTTTGTTTTTTACTTTTATCTTTTTTTTTCATTGAAATTTTTTTCTTGCGTTACTTTATTTGAGTTCGTTTGATTTTCCTTCTTTTCTTGGTATATATTGTATTTTGGTAGGTATATTGGTGGACCAAATTAGAGAAATATCGATATCAGTCCAAATGCTTACGTTTGAAATTTTTACAATAATGCATCGATGTAATATTGAAACTTTGTAAAATAATTTGTTCTTAATGAAAATTTGCAAGTAATGTGGATAAATTTACTTTAACCAACTTTCTACACCAATAAGAATTTCGGTACTCATTTTTAAGGGTCTGGTAGCCGTATTGGATATGTTTGGGTGACGATCTTTTGACTCTATAAATGCAAAAACATTCCAAAAATAAATAAATAAATAAATGTGTATAAATAACACCTAATAAGCATTTAATCTTTTGAGTACATATTTTTAGAGATCTAGTAGCATATTGGTGTGCTTATTTGTCAAAATGAGAAATAATTTCATGTGAAGATCATTTGGACCATAAATGCAAAAAAACTCCACAACAAAAAAAAAAAAAATGTGTACAAATGACACTTAATAAGCTTTTGATATTTGAGTACTCATTTTGAGGAGTATAATAGCATACTGGACAGTGGCGGAACCATGATTTCTTGTGAGGAGGGGCCTCTCACAATGTAAAAGAAAAAAAAAAGTAGTATTTATAAAATCACTAACCAAAAAAATCATAATATGTATCCAAAATAATAATATTTATCCTCAACGAGTTGTCATATTTTGAAACAATAGCACGATAACCTCGTCATCTATACTATTGAAAGAATTATTAGACTCAATAGGGAGAACCAATGAATAATTACAAACCTTAACAGTCAAGAGGTAGGATCAGTAGGGGAGACCTATTGGTGCAGGGGCGTTAAATTTTGATGGTGTCTGTTGTAGTCATTTTTTGGTGACTTCCAAGTAAGGAACCTGCATAGGTAAAAAACCAAGCACAAATTTTGAGTCCAAGCGTCAGGATGATTCCGGCATGGAGGCTCCGATGCTTAAGTCAGCAAGGTAGAGGAAGATGCTGGTGTGGTACCTTTTTAGGGGTTCTGAATGTCTAACCTTTTTGAGGAGCCATTAGTCGTATTTGTAAGTGTTGCAGTGTCGGTCCATGTCATCAGACATTCCCCAGAGTCATCGGAGATGTGGGCATCAAAGGGACCATTCTGACGTACGTACGCCATATCAGGGAAGGACCATTTGCCTCTTCCACATCGTGGCTTGAAGGCGCACGCGCAGCCGCGCTAGTAGGCGCAGTCTGACATTTCACATAGGCGAGGAGGTACCGCGCAGTCTAGGCAGGATAGGCTAGCGCTTGAGCAGGTATACCTGGCCCAATCCGTACTCCAGGAGTGAACCGAATCCACCCGGAGTGCTTCGACTACAGATACAGGATTAGTTAATGCGATCGATCCGAGAACCACCTGATTAGATCCTTCCCTCGTGGGGGAGAGCTTGGCCTTACATTCACTCTGGGTCTAACCCCTGTGAAGTGGATGTATATTGCTATCACTCAGGGAAGGTGGCATTTTGGGCCTTACAATGCCACTATCACTATTGTGGAAGCTACTGCCTTGAGGGATGGATTGCTGCTTGCCAGGAGAAAGGTTATCCAAAAATTAATGGTTGAAGGGGACTCAAAGTTAGTTATCCAAATGTCTCGAGGTGAGTGGACTCCACCTTGGCACCTTAGCTAGATTGGCAATGATATCAAAGGATTGGCCTCTGATTTTCATGGAGGCGAATTTTATTGCTGATACTTTAGCTTATGTGGGGCTTTCTTTAGTTAATCCTTGCTTCTGGGACTGTTGCCTCCCTAGTTCGGCTATGGAGGCTTTCAGATTTGATTGTGTACTAGTGGTTTTCATCTTTAATAAATTTCGTTGTTGATAAAATAATGTAAGAAGTAGAATAGAGTAGAAACAAATAAAAATTATAGACAATAATGAAGATTTACAAATCTTATTGTTACTCATTGAATGAATTTGTAATTTTTTTTTCGATAAGTTGAATGGATTTAGAATTTGGAATGACAAAAAATATGAAATTTCGAGAATGAGATAAGGAATAGCTTTCAAATCTCTAGGTTATACCATGAGAAAGATTAGATTAGAGTGTGGGGCAAGATTTTTTTATTTTTATAAATAAACGATGAATGATAGGTTTAGTTGTAACAACCCATTCCCAATTTTATAGTTTTTATAATTTTAATAAGTGAATTTACGAAAATGCCCCTCGAGGCAAAGTGTTGATTTTTGTTGACCGTCATGTCGTGTCGTGTCATGTAAGACTCATTTCCTTGGCATATCCTCGTAGTACTCGTTGCTACGAACGTGTGGGCGTGAGCAAAATTGAAATTGGAGTTAAAACGAAGATTTTACGGGACTCGAAATAATAAAGGTATTTTGGTAATTTTACAATTGAAGATATTTCTCCATCATGAACCACTGTGGTGCTGACACGTGGCAAGTCTCCTCCCTAATTCTGGGGAGCCCTTCTTTCTCCGAGTTCTCATTCTCTCTCTAGAATTTTCTCTCCATTTCTCTTTCTAAAACCTTCTCCCTCTCATTTTTCTCCTGGGACACACCCTCCTCCCTCAGCTCCCATCTCTTCTCTCTCAACCAACTCTCTCTTCTCCTTCCCGAGCCTTCACACACACACACCTATGCATCACACACACATATTGGCATGCACACATATATAACAATAATGACCTCACCATTGTATCTCACCCTCCGATGACCTCACCACCTTCCAGACCCCACATCGACTGAGACTTCTCATTTTCCTTCTCTCCCATTGCATGGTGGTATTACATAGTACACTGAGTTTCTCGGCGAGTTCTCGCCGTCTCCGGCGAAGTTATAATGCAGAGATGTCGTGCCCAGATTCCAACGAGAGAACCCGAGACTTGCCGGGCATTTATCGGTAAATTCCGGCCATGTCAAGCCACCAGATAGGTGCATCGGTGGGAAGTGACTCCATCCTTACTAGTTTGAGCGGTTCCCGGGCAATGGAAAATTTGAGTTAGGATCGAGGCACATGATCTTGGCGTCAGGGCACTTCGGCTTATGTATCCTCAAGTCTTCTCAGTGTACATATCATTCCTTTAATCATATATTTACCTAGTAATTCTTTCATATGATTCTTAGTTAGTTGTATGCTTTGAACACGTTCTTGCTTTGGCATAATCGTTCAAATTACATATCTTTTAATTGCATACATGTCAAAAATGGCTTCATCACTCTCGGGTGTCGGCCAGCACGTGCCTACCCTGGTATGTAGGGATATCGAGGTTGGGGGCATGTCAGTTTGGTATCATAGCAATGGTTTGTTCATAGCATACTTAGGATCTTCTCCTACTCTAGTAATGTGTCGACCTTGATATCATTTGGATGTCATGAATTCCGTTTATTGATGTCATTCGGTACAGTTGTAAAACCCTTATTCAGCATGAATAATCACATCCTATTAGAAACATAAGAAATTCGTGTTGGGATTGTGCCTCAAGTCTGCAACATGCGTTCCTTGGGAATGGCAGGCAGAGGCATACCTAGTAGGAGATTATGCACAACAACGGAGGTTCGTGTGGGAGAAAATTAAGAAAGCACCAGTTATAGGTAAAGTTAGCATGTATAAGTGGGGTAGACCGAATGTGCTTCCTTGAGCTTATAGTTTCCACCGAGGAAAGTCATATGGATCCTCAAGAAATTTCTCACCACTTGTTTCACCAATAACATTCTTGTCTACTTCCACCACGAGGTCAGTTTAGTAAACATCAATATCTAGCTTTACACCAAATTCTTCAATTATTGACCTTGCTTAGATTTCATATCTTCTTGGGAGTCGTAAGCGTAGCAGACGATGTTCTTACCCATTTCTAAAAAGGTTACAATTGTAGAATTACAAAATACCCTTGGTCTTGTCAAGAATTACAACATACCCTTGGTCTTGTCGATTTCTATCGACAGTTGTCAACTATTCTTTGACCATACTCCTACTTCCATTTCCCTTGGTTAGGAAAACAAGTTAGTTTTGGTTCGAGATGTTGTCTCACCATACCATTGTCTTTACATCTGTGACGACACCAATAAATTTCGAATCTTACGGTGATGTTATACTGAACGTGTAGCTATGCATTGATGCAGCATGATCGAGAAACGCTTATGCCTTTTGACATTAATATTGCATGAAGTGAATTGTCCTATCTACGACCTTAAGTCATCGGCTACTATACTTAATTAGAAAACTTAATGATACCCTTCCGTGAAGGCAATCATGATGATTCGAAGTTTGTTGACCAACACATTCGATGTATTATCTATTAGTCCGTAAGAACTATACTTTGAATCATCTGGTCGAATTCTTCATTTTCGAATCTTTAAGACTCTCTGGCATTTTGGTTCACATCAGCTCTGTTCGTAATCTCAATTTCACTTTCTGGTCCTAAAAGATATTTTAGTTAATTCTGGGTTACTCTATTATTCTCCATATCATTGCTGAAGTAGACAGACTATCTGGGAGGACCACTCTGATGTCAAACATCTTAGTTGAAATCGTCAGTCCTTGAATCAACCAATCAGTACCTTATCAAGCCAATTTTCACCATTGGTGATTTAATATTCCCACAGTTACCGTTGTAACAAATTTCAGTAAATTTTTGGTTCGGGGAAAATCTAATTTCCGTTCGTCAGTTTTCATTAGGCTATTGTTCAAGTTGAGTGAGCGTTCGACCATTTTAATTACTTTCAAATAATCAAGTTAAGTATTTATACGTATTCAAGCATCGGAGTTGTATATTCAATTCAGATGTCTTGTACTCTAGATTTCATGGACTTGTTTAGACCCTTAAACTCTTAAGTATTATTTTAGCCTTCTCGACATGGTTTCTCACTCAATCAATGAAGAATTCATGATCGATTGATTCGGCGGGTGCGTGCGCCCAACTTCATATCGAGGCTAGCAAGAACATTTAGAGCATAATCTTATCATGAGCCTACCAAACTTACCAAAAAAAGTTTTATGTGATCTTGAGTATTGAGCAATATTTCAGAATGGTATTGGTGATAGTATAAACGTAGGTTTTGAGCTTGGCGATTGTGGCGTAAATTTTTATGTGGGGCTCGAGACTACAACTGTCATTTGATGGATGTGGTCAGAGATATGGTTTCTCTAATTTAGGTTTCCAAATCTTATACCATCGAATTGGTGAGCGATCGAGGCGCGAATCAAACGATCTAGGCATATTCTCACATGAGGAACAAAATGGTAATTTGGCATCCTCGGAAACTTCTCACTTGCTTACTGAGACAACAATGAGTTATCGACATTACAGGCTACAGACTGTAATATCAATGGCTTATTTGTTAAGTTCACTAAGCAAGTGGGCAAGTCGGCTTGTCTACGATAGCAATTACTAGTTAGTTATGGTTTGGACACGACTCATGACACAAACACTCATTCTCAAAGTATGTGACACCACGAATGCTTGGCAATGCCCATTTTCATCTTGGTTTTGATTTTTCCGTGCAAATATTTTTGAACTACATTATTATATATATATATATATATATATATATTTTTTTTTTTTTTGCCATTACAAATTTTGGGTGAGTTATTTTCACTTTGGTTTTAAACTCAATACAAGTCTTTGGATTGTATGTCTTTATATATCCATTTTTGGACGTCATCTTATATTATACGCATATATTTTTAATCTTCTGTTATTATATAATAAATTATATTTCCGAAATTATATTTTATACGAGTATTATACGACTATATTATCGAGGCAGGAAGAAGGTATGAGCTTAGAGGCATTAAAGAGGAATAATTGCAATCCGATTATGACGGAATGACATTCTCTTTTATGCAGCCGCTCTAACTCGATTTTCTCCTTGTATATATATTTATATACATATTTTCTCCTTATTTTCGAGTATTTTGCACATAGCAAGCTATTTCAAATTTCGGGGACGAAATTTTTCTTAAGGGGGGTAGATTGTAACGACCCATTCCCAATTTTACGATTTTTATAATTTTAATAAGTGAATTTACGAAAATGCCCATTCGAGGCAAAATGTTGACTTTTGTTGACCGTCGTGTCTTGTCATTTAAGACTCATTTCCTTAGTATATTCTCATAGTACTCGTCGCTACGAACGTGTGGGCGCGAGCAGAATTGAAATTGGAGTAAAAACAATGATTTTATGGGACTTGGAACAAAAAGGGTATTTTGGTAATTTTACAATTGGAGATATTTCTCCATCATGAACCACTTTGGTGCTGACACATGGCAGGTCTCCTCCCCATTTCTGGGGAGCCCTTTTTTCCCCCCGAGTTCTCCTTCTTTCTCTAGAATTTTCTCTCCATTTCTCTCTCTAGAACCCTCTCATTCTCCTTTTTCTCCCGGGACACTCCCCTCCTCCCTCTATTTTTAATTGCATACATGTCAAAAATGGCTTCGTCACCCTCAGGTGTCGCCCAACACGTGCCTACCCCAGTATGTGGGGATATCAAGGTTGGAGATTGTCATTAGTTTTAAAGGTTTGATTTGTGATAAAGGACCATAACAAGAGATAATGATTGAATTTATTTGAAGTGTTTAGCAATAGGAGGGGCTTTTTTTTTAAAATATATTTTTTCAAGGTCAGGATAGGCCTAGAACCACAATGGTCCTTTGATGCCTCTGCCAATGATACTGGATGTTTTCATTTGCCAAATGAGAAACAATTTCGGGTGACAATCTTTTGACCCCATAGGATCCATTGTTAGGTTAACGTGAAACAAAATTGCACCACATAGACTAAAAATAGTATCAATGGAGCCTCTCCTTAATCGATGTCAGATATCCAAAAACGACAATTAGATGCACAATTTAGTCATAATAGTGCAAGTATGGTTTATACGCAACTGGAAAATGGATCTCCAAGTCCATTACGTCACCCTTTAAAGAATTATCAAATGGCCAAACAGACAAAACAAATAAATTGAACGACTTCAAATACTCATAAACATGACCCATTTTGAAATGTACACTAAATATGGATGGAGTAATATGTAATTAGCCCAAAACAATTTATTTAGAACAATATATGGCAATAAAACACGTTTCAATTCTGATTTAGATGAATTATAAACAGCTTAAATGAATCGATGTCATTCTTTCTTCTATTTCAAATACTTTTAGTAAACAACTTTAACGAGATTTTGAATAATGTTTCATCTTTAATAAAATTCCTTCTCAATCAAATCTTTTACAGACTAGTAAGCTTGTACAATCTTGTTTCCCCAATTCTAAAGTATTTTCATTTCATATCTAGATCAACATCGCACACCCTTCATGTAACATCCCACATCGTCCAGGAGAGTGGATCCTGTAAGCCTCATATATATTACCATCTCTACCTAGCACGAGGCCTTTTGGGAGCTCACTGGCTTCGAGTTCCGGCCAGGATGGGTGACCCACTAGGAAGTTCTTGTGTGAGTTCCCAGAAACAAAACCGTGAGGATGTGGTGGGGGTTCAAAACGGACAATATCGTGCTACGGTGGAGTCGGACCCAGGATGTGATGGGGCCCGGGCTAGTAAAAGAACACATAACGAAGCTCAAAAACTTGTCATCCAAGAAATACAAGATCCAAAATTGTGGAAAGTAATGCCTTCGAGGGCATATGGTATAAGTGAGAAAACAAAAGGTAAACAAAAGTTGATAGCAGATGGAACGTATAATCCACAAGCTGCAAATAACTTAGAGCTCTGAACCCTTGTCATTAGCTGCATCCTCAGTTACCAGATGGTCACGGGCTCTTTTCAACGTCTCTTCAGCTTGGGCTTTGTTTTCCTGTTCAAGATACGTCAAAGCATCTTTCATGAACTCTTCAAATTTTGCTTCTTTATCTTTACCCGTGTCATCTTGGTGAAAACACATTACAGCTCCATCAATCATCTCTTTAGCCTTTTCTGTTTTAGATTTCTCTAGAAAAATGAGAGCTCCTTGAACAAAATCGTGGACTAACTCTAGTTTGCCAACTCCATCGCCACCATTTTCAAGAAATTTCACTCTTTTCAGTTTCGCTGCAGTCTTATCTTTCACATCTTTGACTAGCTTATTTTGTTCTTCGACACCCATGCTTTTGAGTAGCTTATCTGCTTCTTGGACATCTTCATCCCCTAAAAGATACGTCATAGCGCCTTGGATCGCTTCTTTAGCTTTCTCCACACGGTCTAGTTGAAAAAGCGCCATAATTCCATCCAGAATCTCCTTAGTTGAGCCCACTTTGTCTTTCACTGTGTAATCTAGAGCAACATACAATACGACTCCTTCAACAACCTCTTTTGCTTGCTCTACTTGTTTCTTGTCAATATAAGTCAGAGCTACTTTCAAAACCTCAGTAACAAAAATTGCTTTTTGTATTCCTCTTTCTGCTTTATCTTGCTCAAGATACTTCACTCCTTTCGCATGACCCGCGTCTGCTTTCTGTAATTCTTTGACATCATCATCGTTGCCAAGATACGTCATTGCTTCATTGATCACCTCTTTAGCTTTCTCTAAACTGTCTTGTTCAATAAATGTCAAAGCTCGTTGGATCATCTCCTCCAATGCGGCTGCTTTATCTTTTATTTCGTCTCATTGAGAAACAAACAGCTTCATTCCTTCAATCACATTCTTAGCTTTGGCTATTTCTTCTGCACCAAGATACGTCAAAGCTTCGTTAAGAAAGTCATCAACCAGGAGCACTTTATTATTTTCAAGAAATTTCATTCTTTTCAGTTTCACTGCAGTCTTATCTTTCACGTCTTTGACTAGCTCATTTTGTTCTTCGACACCCATGCTTTTGAGTAGCTTATCTGCTTCTTGGACATCTTCATCCCCTAAAAGATACGTCACAGCGCCTTGGATCGCCTCTTTAGCTTTCTCCACACGGTCTAGTTGAAAAAGCGTCATAATTCCATCCAGAATCTCCTTTGTTGAGCCCACTTTTTCTTTCACTGTGTCATCTAGAGCAACGTACAATACGACTCCTTCAACAACCTCTTTTGCTTGCTCGACTTGTTTCTTGTCAATATAAGTCAGAGCTACTTTCAAAACCTCAGTAACAAAAATTGCTTTTTGTATTCCTCTTTCTGCTTTATCTTGCTCAAGATACTTCACTCCTTTCGCATGACCCGCTCCTGCTTTCTGTAATTCTTTGACATCATCATCGTTGCCAAGATACGTCATTGCTTCATTGATCACCACTTTAGCTTTCTCTAAACTGTCTTGTTCAATAAATGTCAAAGCTCGTTGGATCATCTCCTCCAATGCGGCTGCTTTATCTTTTATTTCGTCACATTGAGAAACAAACAGTTTCATTCCTTCAATCACATTCTTAGCTTTGGCTATTTCTTCTGCACCAAGATACGTCAAAGCTTCGTTAAGAAAGTCATCGACCAGGAGCACTATATTTACTCTTGCTTGAGCTTTATTATTTTCAAGAAATTTCATTCTTTTCAGTTTCGCTGCAGTCTTATCTTTCACATCTTTGACTAGCTTATTTTGTTCTTCGACACCCATGCTTCTGAGTAGCTTATCTGCTTCTTGGACATCTTCATCCCCTAAAAGATACGTCATAGCACCTTGGATCGCCTCTTTAGCTTTCTCCACACGGTCTAGTTGAAAAAGCGTCATTATTCCATCCAGAATCTCCTTAGTTGAGCCCACTTTGTCTTTCACTGAGTCATCTAGAGCAACGTACATTACGACTCCTTCAACAACCTCTTTTGCTTGCTCAACTTGTTTCTTGTCAATAAAAGTCAGAGCTACTTTCAAAACCTCAGTAACAAAAATTGCCTTTTGTATTCCTCTTTCTGCTTTATCTTGCTCAAGATACTTCACTCCTTTCGCATGACCCGCTCCTGCTTTCCGTAATTCTTTGACAGCATCATCGTTGCCAAGATACATCATTACTTCATTGATCACCTCTTTAGCTTTCTCTAAACTGTCTTGTTCAATAAATGTCAAAGCTCGTTGGATCATCTCCTCGAATGCGGCTGCTTTATCTTTTATTTCGTCACATTGAGAAACAAACAGTTTCATTCCTTCAATCACATTCTTAGCTTTGGCTATTTCTTCTGCACCAAGATACGTCAAAGCTTCATTAAGAAAGTCATCGACCAGGAGCACTATATTTACTCTTGCTTGCACTTTATTATTTTCAAGATACTTCACTCTTTTGCCACTCTGTTCATCTCTGACTTCATCGTTGCTTTCAAGATATACAATAGCTCCTTTCATCATCTCTTCAGATTTTTCTATCATACCTTGTTCAAGAAACTTGATAGCTTCTTTCATGAACTCTTCAAGTTTGGCTGCTTTGTCTTTTATTGTGTTATCATGATAAAGGTACTCGATAGCTCCTTTCAACAGCTCTTCAGCTTTGTCCGTTTGATGTTTTGCAAGAGAGTATAAGCCCCGTCCACAAACTTTTGAACTAAGGCTACTGTTTTTGCTCTCTCCGTAGGCTTAGAGGCTGCATCCCCATCTTTGAGTTCATGTCCCCTACATGCACAACGTACATGATCTATAATTATTCAAATTTGCAAATGCACTAATACACACAAACACAATACAAAAGAACAAAATGAAACAACCAATATTTTTGTAAGCTATAAATTCTAAGATGTAGTGAGTTGAAAAGCAAAGATAAGTGGTTAAAAATAGCATATCTTCAACTATTATACTATTAGTGCCATGGGATGTGTAATGGTAACAAGTACGTATAAACAACGAAAGAAATCAAACACATAGAGGACGCTAATATACACAGATAAATACGCAACAGTTATAGGCAGAGACGTGTACCAATCTACAATACTCGTACATTGTCGATATTTGGTTGATGATACCACACGAACACAGAATCGACACATTTAACATTAACACTGCACCAGATTCTGTTTATTGGTTTCGTTGTTTTCAATTAAGATTTCCTAGAAACAAACAAAAGTGATTCCTTACGTACCAATCTACAATACTATTGCATTGTCGATATTTGGTTGATGCTACCACAAAAACACAGAATTAACATATTTAACATCAACATTGCACCGGATTCTGTATATTGGTTTTCGATTAAGATTTCCTAGAAACAAACACAAGTGATTCCTTATGTACCACTCTACGAAACTTATGTACCCATCATCACAGCATTGAACATAGCATAGACAATGTATCAAATTCTGTATACTGAGTGTTCTTCGTTACCGAACAATATTTCACATAAACGAAAAAGCATGACGGATTAATATTTCAGGAAATTAAAGTAGCAGGCGATTCAGAAAAGGAAGAACTTTTTTGAAAAAAAAAAGTATGAAACTTACCCTTCCTGTTTCTCTTGCCCGAAAGTCCTCACCGACATAGCCAGCCATAGCACCAGAAGCAACGCCGCTCCCTTCCCCATCTCTCAGTTTCTCTTTTGGCCTCTTTCTGTCTGGAAAATTTGCTTTTTTGTGGCGCACATGATGTGTTCGATGAAATGTCTTCCACCCTGCGTGAATGTATATAGGTATCGGGTCACAGTGGCAGTTATTCATACCGGTAGAATAGGGCGCGAAGGTATTGGAATTCGCTGCCTTCCCTCCACCTGTTGCTTTTGTCATACGCCGCATCCTCCTTGCATTGTCCTTATTTGCAGTCTGCGAAGGAGAAAGGTGTCCTCGTGCGAATACAAAGCCGAAGTGCTAGAAAGGGTTAAAAATTATCTAGAGTCCGACACCAAGTTACGTGTTCGTGCGGACTTAGACACAAAAATATTTCTCGAACCCATCCCTAATTTTGTCAGGTCCATTCGGCCCCATTTTGTTGACATAGATTCTCTTCCCTTTTAATCTCTCTCTCATTCCTTTCTTTTTCCTTTTCTTCTACTTGAATGGTTACGATTACATTACGTTAACATTTTATATTGATTTTTTTATAAAAACAATAAAACAAAAAGCAAAATGTGAGAACAGGAGATGAAAGAGAAAGAGAATGAGAATAGAAGCGGAGAGAATCCTACTTCTCATTTTGGATCTCAACCCTATTACACTACAACCATGGGCCCACATAAGAAATTTTCCTTTGTAGGGGCACCAGGTGGTAAGGTTTGTGAGATCATTCGAAAACAAGTTGTCACAATGTCACGTCACATGTTTGTAAGGAAAGTAATTCGCGTGACACATAATACTGACACTCTTATACTCTTTAATAAAAATCGATCTTACGATTGTATGTGTGACCCATTCGTATTAGAGTGTCAACCATTATTTCACTTTTGAATGTGCAAACAGCATTGCCAATAAAGTATGAATGATAATTTACAATAAACTCTTAATTACTTAAGTATAAGCCTTCGACATTTTGATTGTCTGAACAATATAAAAGTAGTTTCTTAAGTGATAGGAGCATATTCATGCGACTTAAATGGCTTGTTCTCGTGCATTTACGTTATGTTTCTTTAGTTATTTTAGTACTTTAAGCTATTTTCGTGTGTTTGTAGGTCCAAAGGGCTAAAGGAGCAAAAAGATGCATTTTGGAGACTTTTGGAGCACTTTTGGGCTAAGGATGGATAGCTTATGCTTGGAGCCAAAGTGTTGGACGAAACTGAAGACCTAATTGAAGACCAAAGTGTTGGAACCTTGTTCCCTTTAGTTCTAGGACATTTAAACCTTTCCTATAACCATTCCACATGCCATTGTCATTCCACTTCATTTCACCTTGTATTTTCAGATTATTCCTTCATCATTGCACCCTCACATGTCCCTTTAATCATTCAAACATGCACTCCCTTTAATCACATGCATAAATCAGCCACATGCATCTCCCATCATCATTCCACTTTAACCCACATGCATTTCCACCCACATGCTCTCCCATTTCAGATTATTCCTTCATCATTGCACCCTCACATGTCCCTTTAATCATTCAAACATGCACTCCCTTTATTCACATGCATTTCAGATTGCATTCACATTCTTTAAATCAGCCAACACATGCTTGCACATGCATTTCCAACCCACATGCATCCTTTAATCATTCAAACATGCAGCCACATTCCCTCCTAGCTGTCATGTTCCCCCCCCATTTCGCCTATAAATAAGCATTCACTCCACATCTCATTCTTCCATACACATTTCAGTCACAAACACCAACCATTCCCTTGTGCCATGCTCTCTCCCTAATAATCCAAACACCACACCAGAAATCATCCCATTGCCGTGGCCTCCTCCTTCCATTTTCACCACTCCCCAAACCATTCACACCATCAAACTATCCATTAGACCTTGTGCTACAACGAAGAGGAAGATAAGAGGGCCTAAACGTTCATACAATTCAAGTTTGAGTTGTTGGAATGTTTAGGTGTTTCTTTGATTTCAATGTTTAATTTCAATACTCTTTGTTTTGTACGAATGAGGAATGGAAGAGAAGAGGGCCTAAACGTTCATACAATTCAAGTTTGAGTTGTTGGAATGTTTAGGTGTTTCTTTGATTCTCTTTGTTTTGTATCATGAGGAACTAAACCCCCCCTTGGCTAGGGGGGGATTCAAAATATATGTTTATGCTTGCGTTTTGATTTGATTACTTCTAATTGCATTTCATAAGTCGTGGATTCAATTTGTTTAACTGTTTGATTGATAACTTATTTATGTATGTTTATTGAGAGTGCACGCTTAATTTTCATGCATGAATATGACGCTAGAATATAAGTGAGTTTCACCTAATAGTTACGAACTTATATTCACAAGTAGTGGAGGTTGCTTATAAACAATCGCGTTAAACGAATTCTTGGCATAAGTTTCATGCAATCATAGTAACGAATGCCTCGTCAACATTTATAATTTTCATAGAGCGTAATGATTCTTGCTTGTATCTCTATTATGCAATCATGTAGGGGACTTGTGGGAAATGTTTTGGGTTGTCGTATGCAATCATCCAATTCAATAACGTTAGGAAGATTTGAAGGTTAATTTAAGCGGACCTAATTAACCCGGGGTGATGAGTTTCATAATTTATTGAAATGCAATTGGAAATCTTTTATTTATGCAAGTGTAACATGTGTGGAGATGAATCCCTTGGCTAGCATCCATTCATTCCATTTCATCAATTTCATATTGACATTCTGTCTAGTTTGTTACTTTGTTTTGTTATTTCAATTTTCGTCAAAACAAAACCCCCCTTTACTTTCTTGTTCTATAGTGTTTAGAATCTGTTTAATTTGTGTTTTAAAGTGTTTTGAATCCACCTATAATCTCAAATTCGTCCAAATTTGTGTTTAAGGTCAGAAACTGCCTAGTTAGTGTTTTTAGGCAGTTTTGAGTCTTTTGAACTTGTTTTGAGTCCTTTGAGTCTTTGTATTGTCCAAATTAGTTAGAAAGTGTTTTGATTTGTGTTTCTAAGTATTTTGATTCAAGTTTTCATCCAATTTCGTCCAAATTAGTGTAGGTGCTCAAAACTGCCCAGAAAGTGGTTTTTAGGCAGTTTTGAGTCTTCTAGTTGCTGTTTTGGGTTTTAGGTTTGTTTAAGTGTTTTAACTTTTTGTTTTGCATTCTTTGAGTCAAGTTTAGTGTTTTAAACTTTGTTTTTGAGTTTTTAAGTCAGTTTCCAAGTGTTTAGCAATCCCTCCTAATCCCCGGTTAAGAACGATCCCTACTTATATCTATACTACAATTGTCAAAAAGAGGGTTAACTTGTGTGCGTATAATTCTCGCATCAAATTTTGGCGCCGTTGCCGGGGATTAGCAACTTTGCTAATCTCTTGGATTGTTTTATTTTCGTTTGTGTGTATATATTTTTAGTTTTATTTTGTTGATTTTAGAAGCAAGACATGGCACTTGATAGTGTTTCTCTTTTGTCACAGCTTATGGAAGAGTACCAAACGCAAAGAGTTGGTACATTTGATCATAATCAATCAAGGAACGACGTGTTTTCCAATACTTACAATTCGGATTGGAGTGATCATTCAAACTCTATGTGGTGGGAACCTCAACATATTCAACAAGAAGGATATTGGCAACCATATGAGGAGTTCTATACAACACCTATGCAGCCACCACAACCTGTCCAAACAAATTCAAGTGAGTCTTTGTATAATGATACGGTTAGTAAGTTACTCACCAATTTGTCTCAGGGGCAAGAAGATCTAAACAAAGCAAGGCAAAATCAAGACAAAAGGTTGGACTACTTGGAAAAGCAAATTGGGCAGATCGCGGAGTTCGTAGGACAATTTCAAGACCAAGGCAAACTCCTTATTTCAACCATTGCAAATCCGAAGGAAGGATTTGAAACTGCCTTGAGAAGTAGCAAGGAGGTTGGAACGGACCCTCAACCATCAAAACCAAATCACAAGGAAGAGGAATACACCCAACCCACGGCAAGAGTGGAAACACCTTTGCCGGAGGCACCTATTGCTCCTACGCCATCTACTTCAAGTAAGGTTGTTCCAAATTTAATTAGTTCTAACCCCATTCCACCTAATATCCCTATTCCTTGCAGGTTCATGAATTCCAAGGAAGAAGAAAGTGAAAAAGACACCTTGGAAGCCCTTCCAAAGGTGAAAAGTAGGGAATATCATGAATTCATCAAAGAGGACGTTCTTGAGATAAACAACCCCAAAGAAGTTGAATTTTATGACACAAGACAAGGACCAATCCTCACATCAAATCTAACCAAGTGCAAAGTCCCTGAAACGTTCAAAGAAGGGGTGTTTATTCTTGAGTTCTTATTGGATCACATAAGTAAGCCACCTCCTCCAATTTCAATTTTCTTTTATACTAACATGTTGTTAATGATTCAGGCATCCAATCTTGAATTTAAACCATTACCGGATCATTTCAAGTATCACCTTCCATTCAAAGATCAATTTCATGCCGTTTGACTCAAATAGAAAAAAAAAAAAAAAAAAAAAAAAAAAAAAAAAAAAAAATTTCATATATTAAATAAAATAAAAGAACATGGCAGAATGATGGAGCCTTTACAAAGGATGTTTACGTGAAGCCCCACTACGAGGCATCGGAGCGGAAGGCATCGGAGCAGAAGGCATCAGAGCAGGAGGCATCGGAGCGGAAGGCATCGGAGCGGAAGGCATCGGAGCAGAAGGTATCGGAGCGGAAGGCATCAGAGCAGGAGGCATCGGAGATAGAGCGTTCCAGGCCTCAATACTTGGCGGAATGCTGGATGACCCAGGAAAAAGGTGCCTCTGGAAGAAAGACGCAAGTCTTTGACGGTCACTTTGCATTCGACCTTGAGATTCTTGCATCTCATCAAGCTTCCTCTTCATGCCTGACGAATAGTTATTTGCAAGCACATGCAAACTTCTATTCTCGTACTTAAGCTGTTTGATCTCCTGCTTAAGACTCTCCACCTCCGCCATCAAGGATTCAACCTGACGGGAGCGAGCAAGTAGGCGTTGGCCCATGTTGGACACAGAGCCAGCACACTGAACGCTAAGAGCCAAGGACTCTTGAACGGCCAACTCATCGGACCGTCCTGAAAGCAACTGACTATCTTTTGGAGTGAGGAGGTTCCTTGCTACTATTGTAGCTGTTGTGGCGTCCTGCATCACGGAGTCTTCACCTGTAAGAGGACCGTTAGAAGATAAAAAAGAAGGGCGCCATACGTTACCTTGACGCGGCGCGCCCGTATCACTGCTTCTGCTGAGACTCAATTCTAAGCTAAGGTTCGATGGGTTTGCCATTTTTTCAAAGGTGTTCAAAGAGAAGGGGTGGATGGAGTTAAATTTCAAAGGGCCGGAGACAATTTTCAAAAATGGGCAG